CAGTTAAGCCAATAAGAAGTAAAAGTAAAGATGAGACGTCGATGTTATGATAAGAGAACGAAGAACAATAGTTATACATTGTTTACATTTGTTATGCATATTTTCTTTTTTCTTCCCGATTTGACCATCTTATCGACCAATTCGGAAAGGATTGTACTTCTTCAATTAAAGAATAATGACATCTATCACTGATAGTGAATATCAGCTGTTATTAACGATGATAAGTGTCAGAAATAACTACAGGACAACATCTTCCGTCCGGTCCTGTTCTGTCCTGTGTAACCCCATCCTGCCGCTCAGCAGAGCAGGACAGGAATTTTAGTTTCATCCTGCCCTGATCACCGCACCGTGTAATCCTATCCTGCCGCTCAGCAGGACAGGACAAAAGTTTTAGTATCATCCTGTCCTGCAGGACAGGACAGGACAGGATACAGGACGGCCGCACCGCCCCGTCCTGTGCTCATCTCTGACCCACACCCACACCCACACCCCACACACACAACCACACCCACACCCACACCCACACCCACCCCACACCCTCGTCGAGACATATTGCTTTTTGCAACTTACAAGAGGTAAATGATTAATTCTTATCAAACACATGTTGCGACGAATAAAATGTGCACATTGATGGTAACATCAACGTGCCAGAGCAACACTCTTTGTAAATCAAGAATAAAGTTTTCTCATGTCGGTGTCGTAAAAATGTCGTAGATAATTCTTTTTGAATTAGTATTCTTTATTAGCAAGAATAGTAATGTATTTGCGGGAAGTTGCTATGGAACAGAGTAGTGTAATCGAGTGGGTGTGGGTCAATCCGTGTATCTCATTCTGATACTCGCACCCACAGCGACCCACACCCACGATACTCTTTACCACCATCATCGGCGTTGATATCGAAGCTTGGATCATCAAGATTACATGTGTCAAACTTGAATTCAATTGAAATTTCAACTTTAAAGTTTCAATAGGTTTATGAGCCTCGAATCAGAAATTTAGTTTTAATATATGGAATCTTTTATTGTGAGAAACATGAGGTCGCTAAAAGCTAGTATCAAGTAGGAGTAGTTTCGATGAATGTGAATAATGAAATCATTGTAGCTATTCTCAAAGCATTAAAGGAACAGGAACCAAAACAAGTCGTTCCCGCAGGTCTCTACAGTCCACACCCACATTCCAACCGCGCTCGGGATGTGGATGTGAGTGTAAGTATGGATGCTAATGTATGTTTTTAACAGGCGCACTCACTTTCACATCCAGAATACTCTGAACTCCACTAAATTTATTGACGTCAATGAATTTATCAATGAGTAATAGTAGAAGTGAGCATGCTATGCTTATAGACGACAGATAGCAGTCCCGATTACATTATTTGGAAAAGGAAAAGAGACCCTTCACATTAAATGCAATCTCAGTAACGAAATGTTCGTTTTATCTTCATGTTATATCTTGTTTCTTTTTTCTTAAGAATTATTATGTACGCCGATAACAAATGTTTTTTTATTTTCGCAGTAAGCTACAGCAATATGTTAGTAGTGGTTACATTTTTAGATCGTTTTTATAAGCAAGGTTAGTACAACATTATTGCATTGTTTTTCACCCTTCTTGAGCAACTCGAAAACACATTTATGCATCGAAGAAAAAATATGAGTTTTTAGCACAGTTTATTTGACAGGATCAGAATAGTATTTCTAGAAACGTAAGATTGAATTTGCTTACGAGTCGAAAAGAATTCTTAAAAACTTAACTTAAATTCTTTGAAACGCTAAACTCAAGAGTTATTTGTAATTTTTATCACAAGACATTTTCAAAATTTTGTTTTTTGCCATTTTTTTTCATCTGTTTGAAACTCTATATATAAAAGAAAATTTTCTTTGTAAAGGTTCAATGTTCTCGTCTTAAAACTAAAACATAATAAATTAGTCTAGATCATTGAGAATGAAGACAAAAAGCTAGGTGATAAAAGTTTAAATTACCCTAAATGAGTTTTTAATGATTTGCGACCCTTTGTCAATATCAATAGTTAGACATGTTTTGATTTCATGTAATCTAAAATCTTGAAAATTTACAGAGTAAACACTCAGTCGAAAAAAGAATATGATAATAGTGAATTTTTAATAACAATTATGCAACAAAGTTTTCCTTACGGATAGTTTTTCAACAGAATTATCAAATATTTTTCAGGAATAAATTTGTGTGCGTAAATTTCATCAAAACTTAAATACATCTACCCATAGTTTGACCTCCTTGGACCTCTGCTATAAAGAGAGAAAATTCAATTTCAAGAGGAGTCGATTTTATTGTTTAACAATCTTCGTTCTTGGTTTTTTTTTATAAATCTTACAGTTGATTTAAATCAGCTTTTGGTTTTTTTATCTAGATTTATTTGGTTAAATTTTATATTTCCGAAGGCGCTTTACAATTTACTACCATCTTAATACAAAACTTGAATTACACTGCCAAATCATTCCAATAATTCGGATCTATTAATTTTACTTGTGGCAAGTAACGTTTCATTACGTTGATATAATAGTGTTGCGTTTTTTTTGCCTATTGTATTTTGATGTTATTTTAGTGTCTCTTTTTTAGCTCTTCTTAAAAAACGGATGGATGAGCGTAGGTCTACGGAAGAAATCCAACACAAAGTCATCGAGTTTTGCAAGCAATATAAATGCTTTAATAGAGAACGGATTATCAGCAAGCTTTATGAAGGTTATCAAATAGATAATGCATTCCATTTAAGAGTGGCCGCTTCAATAAAGTATATCACACGTAAGCATGGTCTTCCAGAAGATAAATGGGACAACATTTATCAAGACTTGATAGCTGAGAATATTGATGACGATATCAAACTAAATCTTGCTTAAGCCATGAAATATTCTATTAAGAAAGGGCATCTTAATGTTGAAGTTGGAAAACTTCTAATAGTCTTACAGAAAAATCATTCATGTAGTATAAAATCCGAGATGGTATGGGCTATTGGTTATCAGATTAAAAATTCGTTTGTTAACGATTCCGAGAAATTTGTAGATGAAGATTTAGTCGATAAAATCAATAGTGTCATAGAAGGAACAGAATATAATCTCAACATTGAAGCAATAAGATTTTTGTACGAGCAAAGACAAATACAAAAATTTTTAAGTCATAGAAACTATCGGCAAATAAATCATAAGAAAAATCAAGCATTAATAAATTATAATAAAAAAACACCACAAATAGTAATTACGAAAAATCAGCAAACAGTTAAAATTAAATACAAAAGTAATCAGTCAGAAGAATCAGTTGGTAGATTAAAATCGATTGATATTTTTAAGAATTCAAATAAGAAAACAAAAGTTAGTTCTACTAGAGAAAATTATCCAATCATATCTGACGAAGATGGAACCGATAAATCTCCTTTTCGAACAACCTATCGAGAAGTCGTATATCTCTACGAAAGAGTCAAAAATGGCCAAGCATTAAAAAGACAAGATAAAGATGAATACTTACCGTCAAAATTTCTAGGATCAGAAAAAAAGTGGTTTTGCGATAGTTGCATTAAAGTACTACTTACAGATCGAATGATTGCTTACATATTTTATGAAATTTCTAAAAAACAGATATTACAAGATAATGTTATTGATCTCCTAATGAATTGCGTAGATACTCTCGATCATTTGGAAAAAAGAATTTTAGGTAAAACTACGGAAAAAGAGAAAATCTTAAAAGAAATTTTAATGAAAAATCAAAGCATAAAAAACGATCATTCTAAAAGTAATGAAATGAAAGCTAAATTGACTCTTAGAAATGAACCTGATGTGTTTATAAATTTAGCATGTAAAATCTACGATGAATCGATTACGAATCATGAACGAATTGCAGAAACGATTACATCTGAAATACAGAAAATAAGATTACACGCAATTTCAACTATATATATTTGTTCATCCAGAAATAAGAATGTATTGAACAATGAACGTTTGAACCAAATTCAACGTCATCAAACTGATAATGATATTGACTTTAAAAAAATTATAATAAAAATATTAGGAACTTTAGCAGATTGTGATAATATTGATTATAAGAAATTTTTTACAACTTGTTTAGAACATATCGAGAAAAATATTATTGTAGAAGATTCAATATCATATATCTATCAACAGAGTATAGATGAGGCAAGATGTCAAGAATTATTTAATGAAAATATTATCTGCAGAATAATTGATTTATTAGAGAACATATATTTAAGTGAACAGACAAAAATACACATTTGTACGATAATTAATAATTATCTTGAACATAGTTCTAGTAAAACTTTGAATGAGAATCAATTACAAATATTTGCTCATGTATTAAATAATTTGCTTTATAATTTTGAATTAAAAATCGAAGCATTACGATCAATAATATTGACTGCTGTTAAAAATCAACATTTACCAGATTTTATTATTCAAACTCTAATTAAAAATATTGACAAAGGTGATAATAAACTTTATAGTCTTGCAGTTGTAGCATTAGATATTGTTTCTCAAAGACAGATTATACCCGATGTAGATAAGTTGTCAACTAAACTATTAGTTGATTGGGTAATAGTGAACGAAGGAGCTGATATTACATGCGAAAAAATATCCAGCGATAATGCAGATTGTCAATCAATTTCATCTTTAGTAGCTGGAATCTTTGTAAATACTTTAAAAAAAAATGTAATGATTAATGATCGAACTCTAGAGTATCTTACAAAAGCACTATATAGTATTGATAAGCAGACATGTATTTTATCAGCAAAATCACTATATTTAGCGTCAGAAACTCATGAACTTGGAAATAATGTTTTAATTGAACTGAAAGAACACATAGATAATAAAATATATGATGTTGCTGTCTATTCAACTGTTGCATATACCCGAGGTCTAGTGAAATTATACTTTAAAGAAGGGTCTATTATGAAAATTCATATGGAATCTTTACCAAAAATTTATGCATTTGATGATTTACAATTAGATGAAGAAACCTTTAGTGATACAGTAAATAACAATATCTTATCTCTTTTGCTTAATTTATCTAAACATAATCTATTCGATGATCATATATTTGTAATATTTAATCATATTTTATCGTTTGAAAGTTCTAATCAAGTTGTAGCAATTAAAATACTTTATAACTATTCAGCAAATAAACATTCGATTCCACAAGATACAATTTTAGCATTAGAAAATGCGATTGATATATCTGAAATTTCTCATGAAGTTACAAAAGTATTGAGTAACGTAATTAAAAATCGACAACTTGTTAATGAAAAATTTTTACGTCATCTCGCTGATAATCTTTATTTATCGAACGATGATCAATTAAGAAAAGAATCATTTAAGCTGTTGGATATAGTCAATGATAATCAAGATATATCTGATGAATTTTTTTATATATTAGAATTAGAAAGGGCTATTCATATTATTAATTCTTTTCCATTAGACAGAAATGATGCTATGTCTTACCTATACGAACTAACAGAACAAAATCAAAAAATAACACTTAGCGGATNTCAGATCAAGTATTATCGAGTTTTGTACTTCTTGCACTAAAAGGTCAATATTTATCAGAAAATGTAATCATTAAAATTTTAGATAAAATTTTAGTTTTAAAAAATTCATTGATTATTGAACAGTATTTGTCTGTTATTCTTTCATTGATTCAAAACAAAGATTATTTAAAAAAAAAATTTTTAAATTCTCTTTTTACATTTTTTACACGATTTTCAACTAATGATATTAGCTTAGTTTCACGTATTCAATCAGTTTTGATCCATATATTAAAAGGAAATAATCAAAATGTGATTCGTACAAGTCTTTATGGATTGAAAATACTTATGACATTTCACAAAGTTAAACTAAATCAGAAAAGTATAGATATATTATTAGATTTAGCAGGAAATACTATTTGTGATGAAACTATGAAAAATGATATTAATATAATATTAAATATATCGAAATTAGATAATAGTCAGCAATGTGGAATGAAATTATTAAGATTAAAGTATAAATCGAATGATGAATTACTCGAAGCGTTAGCAAAATTTTCTAAACCAAAATTATTTCAACAAAACTTTGATCAATTGAATAATATTATCAATAATTCCTCAGAACTAAATGAAAAAGTATTGAAAATTTTACTTGAATGTTCGAATAAAGACAAAATAACGGATACATTATTATATAGTATTACTTTTTTAATGAATAGTACGAACTCGAAAGAAATGAGATCATTATGTAGAAACTTAATAATTGAAACAATTAGAGCAGGAAAAATAGTTTCAAATAAAATCATATCTTGTATTGTTACTCAAAATGATATATTAAAATTGATTGCTAAAAAACAACCGATTCCAGAAAAATTTCAACGTCATTTAAATTTATTTACACGTATTGATAGTACATATAATATTGAACTAAAAGATTTTAGTGAATTTCTAGAAAATATTCGACATGAGTTTAATCAAGATTATAAATTATCTGATCTTTCGATGTCAAAATTGCTTTCTATTCAAATTACTAATAATGAATATGATATCTACATGAAGTTAGAACAAGAATTGTTTCATATATTTGTGTTAATCTTAAAACATAATCCGACGTATTCTTCACAACTATCGATTGTAGATAGATTAGAAAAAGCAATTTTATCTGAAAATATTAATAAAAATATTCTCATGACCTATCAAGAAATTATTAAAATGAAACAGTGTCAAACAAATAATTTATCAAAAATCTTAGATAGTTTAGTAGATTCATTAGATGGTAACAAATTTCTAAATTTCGAAGTTGAATTACTGACATGTGTTGCTCTGATATCTGAAGTTATGGGTATATCAAAGAATGAGACTTTAGCAAAGTATCTTTCAAATGATAATGATGGAATAAGAAGTTGGTCCTTTAGAGG